CCCGAGCCCCCCCACATGCATGAGCTATACATTTAAGTCTTCATGTTCATCCCCAGCAGTAAACTGGAAAATACTACAGTTGGAGGTCTCTTTCCCAGACTTGCTTTCCTTAAGGCTGTGTTTGGCTGGAGACCTTTAGTATGAGCAGTGCCAGCAGTAACTCCAACTCCTGCCTTCCTGATCTCTTCTTGCTCTCTGCATCCCCTTCTAGTAGGGATCTTAGAGGAAGATGAGATTAATTCCCCGGAGTCCTGCCTTCCAGATAAGCAGCACACGCTGTGTGGGCGATGCCGTGACCACAAAATATTATATGGGCAGGAGAGAGCCGTTCATGTGGGTGTGGGTAGCTGAAGGTCTCTGCGCTGAGCTCTGTCTCCGAGCTCTTATTTACCTATTTGCGGATGTTCAGGACGCTCAGAAATGGTCTAAACAGAGGACTCTCTTCTTTCTTTTCTTTAACCAGTTGAGCATTGCTATAAATATTCCATTAACTGGTCTATGTTAGCGTGTCTGGGAAAACAAGAAGAATAACTTCTTGTCTGAAAATTTCAGTCTGAGTTTTTCCACAAGTAATTTTCATCCATTTGGCGAAACACTTTTGATCTTGTACCTTGTGGAAGATAGAAATGTCAGTTAGTTCCTTTTCCTTTATTTTTCTCTCTTTCTAAATGAAAACCTCATCTGGGAAGAGGAGGAGATGATGGTCCTGGTATTGCCAGAAGTTCTTTTTTGTCACTGGCTGCATTCTGTGTGATTGACAGGCTATTGGCAATGAAAAACCAACAGTTAAGAGTAATGATCATATCTATGACTCACACGTTTTCCATACTGAAAATTACCTTTGGCAGCAATTTTCTTGAGCAAAATATGGAATGTCCTTTTATATTAAAAAAAAAAAAAAAAAAAAAAAAAGGCAGAAGCTAAATATGCACGCTTAAAAATCATTACCTGGTACGTTTATTTTTTTAGAAATGTTTTCACCTGTAATTTAACAGATTATTTGGCAAACCGCATTTAAAAAAAAATTCCCCAAATATAATAATATCTGTAGGTTGCATGCATTTTAAATTTTTTACTCTGTTGTGTCCAAGAATAGGTAAATTGCAGAACCAGTCTCTCCAAGATCTAATGCTTATGGGGAAAGGAATATGTGAACACCAGTGGAAAGTACCGAAGCCTGTGCAGCAGCGCTGGGTTTCTGAAGCACTCCCCCTGACCCCTCTTAATATTTTCTTTCCATCTTCTCCATGAGTATAGTACTGGCAGCACTCACAGAAAGAATTGCTTCATTTGGGATCTGAGTGAATATCAGAAGCTTTCCTCCTTTGTGATTTTTGTCTTCTGCATTTGAGTACATAAGTAATGTTTAAGGTTGATTTATCTTCCGTATGAGATGTACAGACTGAAAAAGGAAATGCGAATAATCCAGTATGAGGATGCGCTAGGCTGCAAGAAGGTTTAATGATTTCCTCTGGATTTTGTCAGATTGGCTCAGGATTTTGAATTTACATAAAATTCCTTGTTTAATTTCTTGTATATTCAGCAGATTCCTTATTGTTGTCTCTTTAAAATAAATAAATAAATCAATCTGAAAACAGCGAGTAGGCCATCTCACAGGGAAGTTAATGGGAAGCATGTTGCCGTTATCCGCAGGGAATCTTGCGCATATCCCTTTTTCCTCTCTAGAAATTGGAGTCTAAGACCATCCTGTGAAACTCTCCTTTTTCAAGCAGAATGGCGCCTTTTTGTATTGGTCTCAATTGTTATTTTCTTTTCCTTCCAGATAAGTAACTGTTCAAGTTTCACAGCATCAGCTCTGAAAAATTCCTGCCTCATGATGCCACATTGGCAGAATTTGTCAGCAAACTCTGTAGCCATTCTTGTTCCATGTAGCACGTGGACCAGATTGGTAGTTCCTTGGTTAACATTTCTGATGTTCGGAACGGCGAGGTTCCCTCATCCTCCTCATGCAGACTGCTTTTGAAAGCGTCGTTCTTCAAGAGTTAAGCATTAAACATAAGAAACTCCTCCTTTAATACGGCACAAGAATTGAGTGAGTTCTAGTGGAGTCTTTGTGTTAGTAGATACAGAACACAGAAATAATCTTTCATCCAATGCTAGTGATTCCTGGTAATAGATAAGAAACTTCATTCGGCTGTTTTCAAACGAGATGTAGAGTTCCTACTCAGGCAGGTTAACCACAGAGCAAGGTTAGTGGGTGGTTGTAGATTTGTTGAGCTGTGCTGAACACCTCCAAATGCTTATTTTAGCTGTTCTCTGCCACTGTGCTTTCTGTGTGACTCTGTTTTCTATCCAAACTGCTTAATAGATTCTTGGAGTCCTTACAACTTGATAACAGTTAATTTCTGAATGCTGAACAGTTGATGGGCAATGTGGTGGTAGCTGTGGCTTGTTACAGAGGTTTTCCTTGTGTATATGGTGTCTGGTTTTGCCTTTGTGCTGTATAGCCAGGAAAAAAACATCTCAGTTAGTGGCGCCTTCCAGAACAACCGTGAAGGTAGACTTTTTTTTTTTTTTTTCCTGTCTGTAATCCACCCTACGAACTGGGAAAAGTTAATTCTTAGGGAGGAGCCAGTGTTTTCATGGGTGTTTGTATAGGCATAAATTTGGAAAAAATGTTTATGCATTGAAGTAAGCCAAGTTTGAACAGACAGTGATGCATTGAAGAGGGGATAAATCTGTTCTGGTGGGTTGTATAAAGTATTCCCTTATCCTAAATTTGCTTAAATTAGCTATATGCCATCCAGCTCACTCTCTACATTGTCTTCCTTAAAAATGAATACCCCTAAAAAAAGGGCGGGGGGGCGCAAAACTCCCCAACCTCTTCCTTATGTCAAGTTTTAATACTAAGACTCTTTTCCAAATATAAACTTAATAGGAGTAAAATTCTAAGGACTTTATAAATGTAATTTTATTGCATTTATCTCTACAGCTGAAATTAATTATTCAGAGTGTTCATTAAAAATAAGCTTTGATAAGTGACATTTTAAACAGGCATTCAGAAGTGATTGCAAGAAAGATGGTGATAAAGAACAGTGTCTAAAAGGAAGTGTAAAATTCTTGAACACTTTAAACTGGCCTGTAAAAACTTCAAATGTAGCTATTTGGACAATTTGGGAAATGTGACGAGAACACATATTGCTGCTAGACTGGGGGACTGCCAGTCTTGCCATGGATCGATATTTTATCAAGTACTCAGTGTGGTTTGTTGTGGTTTTGTTTTTTTTTTTTTTTTTTTTTTTTTTTTTTTAAAGCATGCAGTGCTGGCATTGATAAAGTAGACAGAAGTTGCTTTTTTTTTTTTTAAATAAGGAATGTGTGGGTGTTTTCCTCTTGATAATGGAGAAATGAAAAGGTGACTATGAAAGCATCGTAAACTCTTTATACTCTAGAGAGCGAATAAAAAAAATCCAACAGACCCCCCCCTGTTTATTGCTTAATACAATTTGAACCTCACATACACATGAAAAACTATAGTACGCTCTGCAGTTGTCTATGATTAGACAAACATCTTCCAGAGCTTCTCAAGGTTTGCAATCCAACAGATTGTTTGCAGTCCATGAGGGATCCCAGTTGTTGCTAGAAACAGATGCAATTCCTGTAAGAGGGAGGCAGGACATGAGGGGCATTATGTATCCAAAAAAAAAAATAATCTGTGGTTAACCATTTTATCTGTGCCAAAGTTGTGATCCATTTATTGTTAGCTCTTATGACAGCTTCTTATCTTTTCTTTAGGTCTTAATGATGGATATCATGGCACTTAAAGTCTTATGTAGACACATGAATATTCAAGCAAGCAGGCGCTGTATTACAGCTGAAATAAACAGAGAGTTGCTGTCGTCAAATTTGTTTAATTTGTGTTTCAACAATTAGCTGGCAAATAGAGTTAGGAAAAATAAATTACCATCAGTCATGTTTGAGATGCTGGACCAGTAAAAACAGTAGTGGACTATTTACTGTGGGAAGCAAAGAGAAAGACGCAAGCCTTCTCTGTCACTAAAATGCAAATTTTCTTCTAAGTTCTCTCCTTAAGTTTACCATGAGCACAGTGGAAACCGTCTTAAATATCAAAACCACACCTTAGAAGATTGAATAGTGGTGTGGGAATAATGGTAATAATCTCACAAACGAAATTAAGTTATAAACTGCATGCTGGAGACAATGATTTACTTCATGTTTACTTTCGTATTGGAGTGTAGACTGTAGCGTGTTGTTCTGTGCAACACTTCTCTATTTCCTTCTGCATTGTCATCGTAAGTGGTAGAGAAGGCTTTCTGGTTTCTCACACACTAAATGCTTTTCTGTTGTTTGTTTTAGCCTTTTTTTTTTTTTTTTTTTTTGTCTGTGAAACACACACAAGAAATAGGTTAGTCTTCTTACTATTTAAAGTTACAGTCTGTCCCTGTTCTGCTCTGATGCCCCTAGTACCGCTCTCGTCTCCCTCTCCTCCAAAAGCCCCCAGCCCTGGAAAGCGATGCATGCTTTTTAACTAGGTTCATCATCCAATTTTGCAATAAACGCTTTTACGTTTGTTTTTTTTTTTTTCCCTAGGAATTATCCTACTAAAAATGGTGCATTACCATGTAAGTTGGCCGTAGTCTCTCTGAAAATGCTCACAGACTTTTCAAAACAAGAATTTGGTGGCTCTTTGGAGCTGTGATTTACAGACTTCCTCCTGTGTATCTTGAGTCGATGAATTCTTTATCACTTTGCCAGGGGTCGTGGACTTTTATATAATTCCATTGAAGCCATCTGTCCTCTGAAAGAATTTTGAGTACTTGAAATGGTACAGATGTCAAAGTAGATGGATTACCAGCTTTAGCATTTGATACGTAACCGCGATGCTGGGAGAAAGAGCTAGGCTTAGAGGCAGTCTCTGGTTTTAAGTAGACTGTTTAAGCCATAAGACTGTGTTAATGTATTATTCATAAGGTTTGCTTCTTTACATTCCATTTTTCTCTCTGATTTTTGTCTTGTAGTGTTGTCCCTCAGACCACAGTAATACTGAACAATGACCGGCAGAATTCAATCGTAGCCAAGATGGTTGGGCAAGAAGAGCCACTGAGCAGAACAGCGGATTCTCTGGAAAATATCCTTAGCAAGTTAGTAGCAGTTAGGGGAACCCTCCCCCTTTGTTCCCTCCTTTGCCAGACCAATATTGGTCTCTGCAGCAATTCGAAGTGCAAAATGAGGAGTGTTCTAGGTAATAGTGGGGGGAAAAACATTGAACTGGTACTGGAATATTTTATCAGGCTGACAGTTCTGCCTGGGGAAACCTCGTATCAGCAGTAAAGGTACAGAGCAATGCTTCATTCCTGATGGGGAGGGAACATCTTGGAGGATCTGGGATTAGTTCAGTGTTAGTTGGCAGCTAACTGAGAGTTGAAAAAGAGTGCCCATAGCTACATATTTTTTACACGGATGCACGATCACTTGGCAGCATGCCAAGATCCTGCATTTAACCAACTGAAGGAGGAATATGCAGCAGCCCAGGAAGGCTTATTAAAATTTGTACTATCTAAAGCAAATTTTAAATTAAGTGGAACTGGGGAGTCTGGGTAGAAAATGTTCTGATGTAATATGTTTTTATAAATTATTTTAATTTTTTTTAGTTTTGCACACTGGGCCTAGACTTCTCCATTGATGCAAATTTAGAAAGTGTGCATCTAAAACTTTTTATTTCTTCTGTTCTTTTCCTTCCTTTTTGTTTTGCTGGATAGCTCTGAGTTATAAACAGGAGTAGGCTTGTTTAAAGGCGTATGCTTTTATAATGCATTTAATTTTTTCAGTTGATGTTTTTAATTGCCTTGTAATGATGCTTTTCCTCATCGAGGATTGTGTTTTCCCAAAGTTACGTACTTTGTCTTTTCCACAGTGCTGTTCCTGGACGTAGGCAGAACACCATAGTGGTGAAAGTTCCAGGGCATGACGACAGTCACAATGAAGATGGAGAGAGTGGCTCTGAGGCCAGTGACTCCGTTTCCAACAATGGACAATTAGGAAACCAAAATATGGGGAACAATGTCACACTTATTACGCTGAACTCTGAAGGTACGCTGCTCTAACTATAAGGCTACTTGAGGAAAGTAAATGTGGTGGTGGGATGAACTAAGATCCAACTGGAAGCTTCAGAGGTCAGGTCACGGGTCCAACCTTGAATTTTTGGGCAGTAGAGCAAGCACTTAAATAGGAGTGAATGAATGTGAATGAATTGTTAGTTTTTCATGTTTACTAGTTTTACAGGCAGAACAGCTAATTAAGGTTACTTTTAAAAATTAAAAAGTATGCCCCTCTATAGCAGTGTAGCTTTGTATTTTAAATCCTTTAAATTAAGACATGCAGCCTGCAGGATTTCCTATCACCAAGTTGAAATATTGTTTCAGGAAAATAAATTCCTTCTCTGGGAAATAATATCTACAAGTCCTGTAACTATCTCCTGTAACTCATTATGCCAGTCTACCTGTGTAATTCTTATGAGTGTAAATAGTTATTTTAGCAAGCGTGAACCATTTTTATGAGTGAATTCATACTGAAACCAGACTGTTAACAGGATAGTGTGTAGTGTCAGATTTTTCTGAAAATTCTTTAGGTCTTGGACAGAGAAATCAAATGCAGTGAAATCTAAGAGTTTTAGATTAGCTTTATAAAGATATTCTATTTTATGTGATAGGAAATACTGAAAGGAATGTTAGTTGCTATATATTAAACACAAACAAGATGATATGAGGGACACTGGGGTTTAGGTGAAAGTAACATGATAAATTATGTTTTATGTTCAAACTTTTAGTTTGAAAGTTTCAGCGATTTTTTTTAATGCAGATTTAATTTGAATCCTAGACTTCAATTTAATAATTTTCCTAGTTAGTTTTTAAAATGTATTTGTTGAACATTTACTTAAGCGTTATTCTGGATGTGGTGGTTCATATTTATATTCATGTGCCAGAGAAGGGTAAGTCAGGAATTTGTTGCAGCAGAATGCACTTAGGAGGTGACCTTTCTACTTAAGAGATAAATGTGTTGTCTTTTGGTCTCTGCTGTTGAAACAGGAGGACTCAAATTTAGGAGCGATTCAGTTTCTTCTGCGTGATCTCCAGCCATTGGTAAAAGCATGCTGGGTGTGAACAGGTTAGGATACAATTAGTGGTAAGGATTAATTCAAGATAGCCTGAAGCTGAGTATTTAAGAGTGTGTTCAAAGATTGCAGAACGGGCCAGCAATTCAATGAGATGCTTTAGAGCTTTGATACTTTGAAGCTTTGATGAAGTCAGTCTATTGAAAGTCTCGCGCACCAAAGATTGTTTCTGAAAGTGTTGTTCTGAGGCACCTGACCCTAGGATTCTTTGACTTTTATGGGTGCTCATTCAACACAGGCATATTATAAAGAGCTTTCAGGTTCCATTCTGTCCTGTTTGTATGTTGTGAGGCAGTCGCTTCGAAGGGTATTTCATTTTGGGTCAATGGGGAATTAGAGGAGACTGAGACTCTCTGAGGAATTCCTTTCAAAAGAAACGATCGATTTGCAGATAGTGCTGATATTTCAATGTGAAAATACATATAAAACGCACTCTTTGTGGAGTCTGTTAATATTTCATACAGCTCTGTGTCAGCTATGCCAGGAACAAAGTTTCTAACATTAGGAGGGTATTTGTTGTATAATGCCCTTTTTGACTTGTTGTTTGGCACAGATTTGCACAGACCAATGTGATGTTGGCCTTTTATCCATTGTTGTATATGTAAATTTTGAAGAAACAGCTAATCCATTAATGTCTTCAGATCTGATTTTCTTCAGACCTTTAGAACACTCATCCATTAAAAATCTCTCTGAGATTGATGAATGCTTTGGGAATCAGAACAGTAATCCCCCACACCTACCTCTTCTTGCCCTCGCGAGGATGAGAGGACTGCTTGCGCAGAAGGAATGCTAAGCGAACTAGCCTGCAGTATGTCACAAAAATTAAATTATTAATAAAGGAAGTGATGAAGAATAATAGGTCTGTTGTGCAGGCTCATTTTCTTCAGCAGTAAAAGGCAAAAGTTATAGCGCCCATCAGCTTGCTTTCATCGTCTGTGAAAGAATTCTGAATGACTTCGAGTTGGTCAAAGGAATCTCGATTGGTTGTAAAATACGTGGGGGTGAGAGTGGCGTACTTCAGCCCTTATGGACTGAGACTAAACAACAGGTTTTCAGTATGACTCCCATCTGTCCCCTTGTGTCTGGAAAGCAAAACTAAACTGTGTTTATAGTTGGGCTTTAGCTGACTTTGGATATGGCATAGACTTGTGGATATTTTCAGGATTTAGTTAATAGATTTATATAAAGGCAATTGTTTGCTCTTTGGCTGTTTTCAAAGCGCATTTAATCACGTACTGTAGTTTAAAAAATATTAGTGTTACTGCCTTTCTATTCCTGAAAATTAATTATACAGAAGCATGGAGCCCAGTTCCTGGTTCCAGTAATGGTCTAGAATAACAGGGTGGTTTTGGCCAGCAGAACACTGTGACTTTATTCCATCTCCAGTTGTACATTCCTCTTTTTGCATGTGCAGTAAGCTGTATTCTCTCTTTTCTTTGAGCAAGTTACTTGATTCTTTTTTTTACTTCTTCGAAAACTGAAAATGCTCATCCATTTTACAGATGCAGTTAATGGTCTGCAAAGTGTTAATTTTAAGATGTAGTATTTATGAACTGAAAGCATCTAGAGATATTGAATCTCTGATTTTTGTGGAATTTTGTGATTTCCACCACCACCACCCCAGTTTCACTTTGGAAATGTCCTTTCACGTGGGGATAGTAGTAGAAATACCAACACCTGATGTATTCATTGGACTGAAGTTCTAAAAGTGGTGTACATGAAGTAATCTTGCACAACTGAAGATAAAATCTACCAAGAATAGAATTGGTCAGTATTGAATTACCAGTGTAAAATCAAATTAAAATAGGCTAGAAGGCTTACTAGTTAGTGATTTACTATTTTTATTAATGTCAGATTTTGGCATAGAAAATATCAAGTGCATCCTTATTCAGCCAACTAAAAATAGTGGTTTTTTCATTTAACCTGTAGTTTTACCCCATAGATATTAATAACTGTCCAAACTGATTAGTCTGTTGTTTTGAATGCATATGTTAGAGTGTGTCTTTTCTACTCTAACTTTGTTGCAGCCCAAGTGGATCTTTTGGGGAAATTACAGTATGGATGTATAAACAGTAGCGTAAGTTGATAGCCATGTGCTTTAGATGTAAAAAAAACTTTTCTACAAATGGATGGTGATTTAATAAGAAGATCAAAGCTCAAAATTTTGTTTCATCAAACTTCTTTTAAGAAGGTATCTTCCTCCAGAAACACTGAAAGACTTAAATGCCACTGATTGTCTTAGTGTTTAAATGGGAATGGGACATCAGCTTAAAACTGATTAATTTGCATCTTTGGTTTCTGGAGATCTGGATTGGAGCCTTCATTTAAATCCTAAATAAAAAAATCTAAACGTTTTTTACTGTGCTGGAACAAGGTGCTGAATGAAGCAGCCCAGGTGTGACCCACTACTGAACTTGCATTTCAGTAGAAGTGAAAGAGCAGAAGTCTTAAAGCAGCAAATGTCCAACCTACCAGATAAAACTGTGTCCAAGCTGCTCTATTCTGGTAATTTAAACTGCTCAAGCAATGCTAAAAATGTTAACTGTAAGCATTGTCCATAAGGTGTACCTGACTGAATCATTACCCATCTCTTTTCTCTTTATTTTTCTGATTTAGGAAAAAAAAAAAAATCCCCTCCTGTTGTTTTTCTTTCTTAACACAATACATTAATGATGTCAAAGGTCCTCACTTGAACCAAGAGGCATTGATTCAAACCAGAGATCTTTTTGTTGTGTAATTATCTTAGCTATAATCTTAGCTAAGAAGTTCTGATTTGGACGAGCTTTTGGAGAGCTCCCCTGAGTAAATTGGACTACGTTGTCAGTTGTGAAACTGTCCTTATCCATAGCAGACTTAACTAAATAAATTCAATCTGGTTAACCTTCCTCTTCTCTTTCATGCTGGCATTTGCAACATTAAAGCTATATGGGTAACTCGCCTCCTGTCCTCGAAGTGCGACTAACAGTTTACATCAGGAGGCACACCTTTGTGTTTTCATATAAATTATTTCTTTCTGAAGCGTGGGTTTTTGAAATTTGAAGTACTCGGCTGTTCCCGTGTTTGTAGAGGTCTTTTGTGTGGTAGTTGTTCTCTGAATACATGAACGCATCTGGTTTAGCAGAAATTTTTTTCTGGAGGAAAGAAACCACCAAGCGTGAGTTATAGCATGACCTGTCAAACTTATAAACAAACCATTTCACTCGAGAGTATCTAAGAATTTGGATAGAGGCTGGTTTTCTGAAAGGTTTTGGTAGATGAAAACAATGTAAATATGAATGTAAAATGAATGCTTTTGCTGTGTTCTCCTGAGGCAATGAGTGCTTTTTCTTTACTCTGGAGGAAACCTGTGTATAAAATTGTAGGGAACTTTTCTTATTCCTTGTCCTCTTTTTAAAATTTTTTTATTTCTTTTTTCTTTTCTTTACCAGCATGGATTACACATCTTTCTTGTTTAATGGAATAAGAAACAAACATTTATCACTGCAAAGTGTTTAAAGCAAATGCCAACAATTGATAGATGTGTTTTTCTCTTTCAAAAATCCAGTTGATTTTGACATGAATGTGTTCCTACTGTAAGTTTTGGAATACAGCATATTCTCAGCTTAAAGTTATGTTGTTTTTTTTTCTTGAACTTTCTAATTAGGCTTAAAAACGATGAGCAATGATTAATGAAGAACACTTTTAAAACATCGTTTGGGCCTGGTGTCTGTCTGTGTTGTTTTTTGTAATGAACTCTTGTAGATCTTCAGGACCTGTTACAAAAAACTTGTTTGTCCGTTGGTGATCGCGAGGATTTAGTTGCTGTGTGTGTGAAGTGGTTTATAATGGGGTGACTCGTATCCATCTGTTCGGCTGTGATGGGAATGGCGTTGATCTTTCTCTCAGGTGTATTGGAGCTGTGCAGAATCGTGTGACTTAT